AGTGTAATATTGTATATTACTTTAAAAGTGTATGTATATAGACATACTCATATTTTTCATCTTCTTCTGTATATTTTCTCCCAGCAGCAGATATGGAGATAAAGCAGAGAGAGAAAAAAATATATTATTTAGAGCCTGTTAGATAACTGGCTCCAAAATTCCCACTTAGTGACAAATTTCTAGGGTGACTCTTCCCTGTTGGAACCGGAACGGTAAGTTGAAGATAAAGGTGAAAAAGGGGACTTAAAATAAAGAACTATGAATTTATGACAAATAAAAAAAAATACAATCAGCTTAAAATTATAAGTATAAATAGGCAACGAGTCCTTCTTTCAGTCCTTCTTTGGGTCCAAGACACGTTTCACTGGTAAAGGTCTTTCTCAATTGGTGTGGATCCCGGTTCCAATTACTATGCTGAGGGGACTCCCTGCAAAATATTTTTATGAACATTGTGTTTGTAAATTCTTCTTATACCCTTCTCTTTTCCTCTCTCTCATATACCTCATGAACTAATTAAATGTACACAATCAATCAAAACAAACAAACCGTAAATGAGGTATCATTGTAATACTCAGAGGAGCAGTATGGGTAATGTAGTAATGGTGAACCACTGGGTAGTGACGTAATGGAACGGAACCTGACGTCACTTCTGGTTTCACGAACAATTAGAAAATGACCCTTCACATTAAAAGGAAACAGAGCAACAGCTGGAGAGAGGTCTCTCCGGATTGGTTGAGTATGAAGAAAGGAGAAGTCCCCGCAGCATTTAAATTGGAACCGGGAACTTGGAGATCCACATCAATTGAGAAAGCCCTTTACTAGCGAAATGCGTCTTGGACCCAAAGAAGGACTGAAAGAAGGACTTGTTGCCTATTTATACTTATAATTTTAAGCTGATTTTATTTTATTTGTAATAAATTCATAGTTCTTTATTTAAAATCCCCTTTTTTACCTTTATCTTCAACTTACCGTTCCGGTTCCAACAGGGAAGTGTCACCCTAGATATTTGGCACTAAGTGGGAATTTTGGAGCCAGTTATCTAACAGGCTCCAAATAAGATTTTTTTTTTCTGTCTCTGCTTTATCCCCATATCTGCTGCTGGGAGAAAATATACAGAAGGTTCTCTGGTGCCACCTAAAAGGCCCAGACTCTCCCTTTGTTTTGAGACAATATGGGAAAAGGCTAAAAAAAACGTGAGTTTGTCTATATACTCACTCTTACATACACTTTTAAAGTAATATACAATACTACACTGTTATATACCTATCTATTTTTTGCATGTGGAAAAATCCCCCATATATATTGAGAGGTTAGTGTAAATATATTTAAAGGGCTGCACTTTTGGAAACTATGTGCTGGTTGGTGGGGTCGGTTACCTAAACACTGAGTTCACCTTTTGTCTACATTCTTTGTTTAAGTGGATTTTCGGGATAGCCCTTAAGGGGCACAATAGCTGCTGATATCGTAAATAAAACTACCATTATCACTGTTAAGTGCCTTTTATACAAAGTTTTATATTTTTTGTTCTTTACAAGCGAACTAAGACTTGTTTGAGACCAGAGCAGGGACTAACGACAAGACAAGCTACTTACATTCTCACTATTGTCATAAACTGTATTTATCTTAAAGACACAAGTTATTTTGGTTACTTTATATTACTATATTAATGATGTTTTGTCTATCATTATATTTATTTGATATAAAAATATTCAGATGATGGCAGAGCCACCTCTAAAACATGGTTTAATAAAAAAGAAAACCAAATGACTTGAATTTTAAACCAAAATGGCATAGTCCTTTCTTTGAATAAGGTTATACAAAGATGTACAGAGGTCTGTTTCTAATTATGAACTCGTCATTGTAAGTAGGATATTAAAGTGATTGTAAGATTTGAGGCACTCAGCTTTATTCAATATGACACAATAAAAGGTTGAATTGTTCTTCTGTGTTGCACAATAATACAAGAAATGTATAAAGATGCATTGCAGATGTGAAGAGGGTTACATGAAACATAAAAGAACATTTAAATATGGGGTTTGCTGCTCTATTCACTGTACCAAGACGTCATCTTTAGTACAGTAATGTTATCTCTAGTATTGCCTTGGGATACCAACTTTCCAGTCATCCTTTAATGCTGGATTCAAAATTTAAATGTGGTTTCAATATTTCTTGATCAGGAGCACTGAGTGATGTAACTGCATGCACAAATACCATGTATCATACCTGACAAAGTGTTGCAGCCGATCCCATTGCTGAACAGGAAATGTAAAAGCAAAGGGGGCAAAGTAGTTTTTATAAGTGAACAAACAGGTGTCATTGACAATAATGAAAGTTTATTAGCTTAGACTCTGGGATAGTGACCATTCAGGAAGATTCCTAAACAGGGTTTTGTGCATAAAATGTTGTCATGAGTAGGGAACAGAAACTCTGTGAGTTTATATTTTTTTTCAGAAGATAAAAAAATTAGAAAAATGATTTATCACATTTTTTTGAGGATTCCTGGTTTAATAAGATATTCAACACACAGTATTAGAAGAGGAAGACATGCTTGATAAAAAGGACAACATGTAAAACACAAGTATAAAAACCAGATTATTTGATGTGCCTCACACCTTTGTGTCACTATATGAAAGCGTGTAACACACACAACACACAGTGGTACTTAACTTATGTATGAATAATGCAGCTTCCCCGGTGGTGTTCCCAATTTACCACACTTCTTATCAGCAAAATTATGTGTATACAAAATTTGGGATCCAGGTATGCATCTAAAACAGGGATAAATGAACAACACATAGTGAAGTATATCAAAATATAAAAGAACTTTGCGCTGTAAATGTGCACTTACTAGAAAGTATGAAGTTGTGTGTCTTGGGGTGCCTCCCCTGGTTCAGACTGGGGGCTTAAACCCTCTTGACATCCTCCACACCTGAAGTCTGGTCCAGTGATGGTAATAAGTAGGGAAAAACTTCTTGCAGTAATTACATAAATGTATTTCTAATAAAATAACTTGACAAATACAAAAATAAAATAAGTAAAGAAAATTGGCTGCATATTCATTTTTGATGATTGTTTGCCTTTTGCACTTATTTGGAGGTCAGGGTAGGAGACGTATGAGATGAGTAGTGATGTCACGAACCGTTCGCGAACTTCCCGCGAACGGCTCGCCACGGTTCGCCACGAACCGTTCGCGGCGAGCTCCGGTCAGCTGACACATCCCGGCCAATCTCCAGCAGACCCTCCCTCATAGACCCTCCCACCTCCTGGACAGCATCCATGTTGAAGCTGCCGTTCGCGGGAAGTTCGCGAACGGTTCGCAACATCTCTAGAGATGAGTAGCAGGGTAAATATGAAGTAAGGGCATGAGATAGGTAGCAAGGGGTGTAAAATAAATCGATCATAGGCTGGATTGCGAGAATGCATACAATTGATGGTTGTAGAGTTCATAGCATGACATCAGTTACAAAGTGCAAGATGTGAATGTCTGTGGAGAAGAGCAGCAAAATAATTTGTTTGAAGAAGAAGGGCACGAGATGGATGGAAGACGCACTATATATGGTCTCAAGTTTAAATTAGAAAATGTAGTTTTATGCTACAAACAGCTTAGAACTTACAGGAGTTACAGGAATAATCAAAGCACAATAACCACTATAGCCTGCTGTAGAGTTTATGGTCCCAACCTATAAATCTCTTACAGAGCCTGATGTGAGTTAACCCAACAATTGAGCTTCTAGCAGCTTTAAATGAGGTGACCACAGTCTGAAAAAAAATCTCTCTTGCAAATGTAAGCTCTAGGCTTTACATACACTGGTCAAAAATTAAAACCACCTGCCTAATATTATGTTGTCTCCCTCGTGCTGTCAAAACAGCTCTAATGCATCAAGGCATGGATCCACAAGACCTCTGAAAGTGTCCTATGGTATTTGGCACCACATTAGCAGCAGATCCTTTAAGCCCTGAAAATCGCGAGGTGGAGTCTCGTCCTCCACATTCTGCTGAATTTGGAGGACAAGTCAACAACTTGAACTCTCTGTCATGTTCCTCAAACCGCTCCTTGAAAATGTTTGCAGTGTTGCAGGCAGGGCCGGCGCTTCCTATAAGGCGAACTAGGCAGCCGCCTAGGGCGCCATATAGGAGGG